ACCTCTATGCAAAAAACACTAGAAAATCGAGAAGAAATGCATAAATTCCTGGATACATACACTCTCTCAAGACTTGAACCAGGAAGAAGCTGAATCCCTGAATAGACGAACAACAAGTTCTGAAATTGAGGCAGTAATTAATAGACTGCCAACCAAAAAAAAGCCCAGGACCAGATAGATTTACAGCTGAATTCTACCAGAAGTAAAAAGAGGATCTGATACCACTTCTTCTGAAACTATTCCAAACAATTAAAAAGGAGCCAGTCCTCCTTAACTCATTTTATGAGCCAGCACCATCCTGATACCAAAACTTGGCAGAGATACAACAAAAAAAGAAAACTTTAGGCCAATATCCCTGGTAAACATTGATACAAAAATCCTCACATAATGGCAAACTTAATCCAGCAGCACATCAAAAAGCTTATCCACAATGATCAAGTAGGTTTTATTCCCGGGATGCAATGCTGGTTCAACATACACAAATAAATAAAAGTAATTCACATAAACAGAACTAAAGACAAAAACCATGTGATTATCTCAGTAGATGCAGAAAAGGCCTTCAATAAAACTCAACATCTCTTTGTGTTAAAAAATCTCAATAAACTAGGTATTGAAGGAACATACCTCAAAATAATAAAATCCATTTATGACAAACTCACAGCCAATATCATACTGAATGGGCAAAAGCTGGAAGCATTCCCCTTGAAAACTGGCAAAAAAACAAGGATGCCCTCTCTCACCACTTGTATTCAACATAGTATTGGAAGTTCTGGCCAGGGCAATCAGGCAAGAGAAGTAAAGAGTATTCAAATAGGAAGAGAGGAAGTCAAATTGCCTTTGTTTGCAGATGACATGATTCCATATCTAGAAAACTCCATTGTTTCAACCTAAAAGCTTCTTAAGCTGAAAGCAATTTCCACAGTCTTAGGATACAAAATCAATGTTCTATTATGTTAGCTGGCAGTCTCCTGCAGTTGTTTGCTGCTGCCACTGCCAGAGCCACAGGCTGGTTTCGAATTTCCTGCAATTCAGAGAAGAGCAGTAATGGGCAGGAATGGAACTGAGAGCCAACAGACAAAGAAATGGCACAATGAGGGAACTTTCCCTACCAGATTTAAAGACATTTTACAAAACTATAGAAAAAAAAATAGCACAGTATTCATTCAAAAACAAATTGTCTTAGTGTGTTTGGGCTGCTATCACAAAAATACCATATACTCGGTAATTTATAAACAATACAAATTTATTGCTTATAATTCTAGGGGCTGGGAAACCTGAGATTAAGATACAAACAAATTACATGTTTGGTGAGGGCTCACCCTCTGCTTTCCAGATGATGCCTTCTTGCTGTGTCCTCACATGGTGGCAGGGGCAAACAAGCTCCCTCTGGCCTCTTTCATAAGGACAGCAATCCTATTCATTAGGTCCCCATCCTTATGACATAATCACCTCTGAAGGGCCCTACCTCTTAATGCTATTGCACTGGTTATTAGGTTTCTGCATATGGATTTTGGTGGGACACAAACGTTCAGACCATAGCATGAATAGAGAACGGAATAGAATGGAAAGTTTTTTTTTTTCTTGAGACGGAGTCTTGCTCTGTTGCCCAGGCTGGAGTGCAGTGGCGTGATCTTGGCTCACTGCAAGCTCCGCTTCCCGGGTTCACGCCATTCCCCTGCCTCAGCCTCCTGAGTAGATGGAACTACAGGCGCCTGCCACCACACCCGGCTAAGTTTTTGTATTTTTAGCAGAGGCAGGGTTTCACCGTGTTAGCCAGGATGGTCTCGATCTCCTGACCTCATGATCCGCCTGCCTCGGCCTCCCAAAGTGCTGGTATTACAGGCGTGAGCCAATGTGCCCAGCCTAGAATGGAAAATTTTATATACATGCACACACATGGCCACACACAAACATATTTTATGTATATGATACTGTGATATAATAAATACAGAATTGATACTGGAACAACACAGGGTTGAACTCTGAGAGTCTCCTTAGATGTGGATTCTTCTGCCTCTGCTACCCCTGAGATGGCAAGACCAACCCCTCCTCTTCCACTTCCTCCTCAGCCTATTCAATGTAAAGACAATGAGGATGAAGACGTCTATGAAGATGATTTCCACTTAATGAATAGTAAGTGTACTTCCTGGTTCTTATGATTTTCTTAATATTTTCTTTTCTGTAGATTTCTCTAGAATATTGTAAGAATATAGTATATAGTACTTACAGTGTATAAAATAAGTATTAATTGGCTGTTTGTAAAGTTTTTGAGTAGTCAAAAGTTATATGTGGATTTTAGACTGTGCAGGGGTTAGCCCTTCTAACCCACATATCGTTCAAGGGTAAACTGTAAATTTTGGTGTTTTTGTCCACATCCTGGCACAGAGCTCCTAAAACGCTTGTAATTTTCTAAGTGATAAGAGCAATAGGAGCAACTTGTATTGTAATATTTGGTTTTTTGTCCTTGGTTCATGAAGCATTTGCATGTCTTACAACAAATCCTTCAACCATGCCTGAGTTTATATTAGTGGGGTGATTTTTGCAAAGCCTTTAAATAACCACAGAATAAGGGCTGGTTGCCAAGGGAATCAACCATGTGATTAGAGGGTTAGAACTTTCAGCCCTGCCTCTCGACCTCTGGGGAAGGGAGGACTGGAGGCTGAATTAATCACCAGTGGCCAATCATTTATTAATAATCAATCGTGTCTATACAATGAATCCGCCATTAAAAATTACTAATTAAAAGGGTTTTTGGAACTACTGCGTGGTGAACAAGAACACATCTGTGTGCTGGAAGGGTGGTGCGTTCCAAACTCCACAAGGACAGAAACTCCTGTGCTCAGGACCCTTGCAGACCTTGCCCTATGTACCCCTTCATCTGGCTGTGCATCTGTGTCCTTTAATATATCCTTTGCAATAAATCCGTAATCGTAAGCAAATTATCTCCTCAGTTTTGTGAGCTGTTCTAGCAAATTATTGAACTTGAGGAGGGGAATGTGGGAATTTCCAATTTGGACCTAAGTTGTGCATAATCTGAGGACCCACAATTTGTGATTGGCATCTGCAGTTGGGGGGCAGTCTTGTGGGACTAAGCCCTTTGTCTGTGGGATCTGAACTAACTCTAGACAATTAGTGTCAGAATTGAGTTAAATTTTAGAGCAGTCAGTGTGCACTGGGGAATTGGATAATTTGTTGGTGTGGAAAACCCCACATATTTCGTGTCAGAAGTGTTGTGTGTGAGACAGTATAGTAGAAAAAACAGTGATTTTTTTCCTTTATAATTAATGATAAAAATTGTATAACAAGTGAATGGAGAAAGGATAGACTTTGTAGTCAATGGTGTTAAAAAATCTGACTCATTCTATGGAGAAAAATAATACTGGATCTTTACTTAAGGCAATATTACAAAGGTGGCTTCACATAGGTTAAAGATCTGAATATAAAAACAATAACAAATCAAAACAATGTCCCCAGAGACCCTCACTGAGGATACTTCAGAGAGGTAGGAGAACTACAAATGTACAGTCATAGGAGCTAAAAGAGGAGAGTTTTAAGAAGGGGACTGATATGGTTTGGCTGTGTCCCCACCCACATTTCATCTTGAATTCCCACGTGTTGTGGAAGGGACTGGTGGGAGGTAACTGAATCATGGGGGCAGGTTTTTCCTGTGCTGTTCTCGTGATAGGAAGTCTCACGAGATCTGATGGTTATTATAAGGGAGAGTTTTCCTGCACAATCTCTCTTCTCTTGTCTGTCACCATGTGAGAAGTGCCTTTCACCTTCTGCCATGATTGTGAGGCTTCTCCAGCCACGTGGAATTGTAAGTCCAATAAACCCCTTTCTTTCGTAAATTGCCCAGTCTTGGGTATATCCTTACCAGCAGTGTGAAAACAGACTAATACAGGGGCATTACCTGTTAAAAGAATTTTAGTGAGTACACGAGCTAATGAGGAACTGACAAATTGAGCTATTAGGACATCATGTTTGACTGCTTCAGAACATAGCGAGGCACCGTTTACCACAGATATACCTAAAGGATTATCTGCAGCATGTCGTGAAGTTTAAAATCCATAAATTGATCTCCACATTCATTCATAGCACTTGCTCTGTAATCCTGTCTTCCTGCAGGTCAGCACAGGCCCTGAGTGGTGGATGCTGTTGTCACCTAGACTGACCCCTGGGTACTCAGGCTTAACAGTGATTTGAATTCCTAGAAGTTTATTTGGATTGTATTAGTTTCCCATTGCTGCTATAATAAATTATTGCAAACTTAGTGTTTTAAAACAATACACACTTAGTGGCTGAAAACTACACCCCCTTAAAGTTCTGGAGGCCAGACATCCAAAATGAGTCTTATAGGGCTTAAATCAAGGTGTCGGCAGGGCTGGTTTCTGAAGGCTCTGAGGGGAGAACCTATTTCCTTGACGTTGTCAGCTTCTAATGGCCTCCTAGTTTTTGCTTATGGCCTGCTCCTCCATCTTCAAAGCACATGACTCCAATCTCTGCTTCCATCATCACATCATCTTTTCCTCTTCTGCGTCATATCTCCCTTTACTTGCATCATACAAGGACATTTTGATTGCACTTAGGGCCCCCCAGATAATGCAAGGTAACCTCCCCTTCTCAAGATCCTTAATCACATTTTCAAAGTCCCTTTTGCCATATAAGGTAACATTCACAGGTTCCAGAGATTAGGATGTAGAAATATATGGGGGTCCATTATTTAGCCTACCACAGGGATAGAAATCAGAAACCAGGAGAAGACAAAAGAGTAAGCATAGCTCATGGAGGATTTTGCTTCAATGTTCATGGTTTTAGGGATCTAGTGGTGGAGGTTGGGTGTGGGGAGCCCCTTCATTGCAGCGAGGACACAGCCCCTGGGGCGCTCTCTGGGATCTTAGGCCCATGTGGAATTTGGTGTGGGAAATAACAGAGTTCATGCTGGTTGGTCTTGATTCTGGATCTTGATCAGATGATCCTCTGCAAGTTCCTAAGCTCCATTAGAAGATGTTACAGAAGTTTCTGTCACAGCACAGTGTCACTCTCAACAGGCCTCTTTTGGAGTACTTCTCTTCCTTGCACTTATACTTACACATTTGTGTTGAGTACATATGTTTGTTTCCTAAAAATGAAGAAGCCTGTTATAAATGCTGGAGGAGATTGCCTTAATAGTGATGTACTAAAACTCACCACCAAGAGGAATAGCACTTAACACTGGGTCTCCTTCCTTGACTACTGGGTTCATGTTCCCAATCGCCACTGTGACTGGCTCTGGATACCAAACCCTACACAGTGCGAAGTTGAAAATTATCCCTTCTTGCCCCCTCTTTTATTCCTTGCCTTACCTCCTAGCAGGACTAAATGATATTGAGTTCTTTATTCCAGGCACTAGCAAGAGTGATGGTTCTTTGCAGGCATTTTTAGAGTCTTCATGAGCCCCACTTACCCCTGAAATAGGCTGTTGTTGAACATAACTCATTTTCTTTTGCAATGCAAGTGCCTCGGCCTGCCATACACTTCCATCCTTCTGTGTGTATGCAGGTATTACACTTCAGACCCATAACTGCAGGGTGGAGAGAATAGAATATTCAGGCTGGATCATGGGACAATGGGAAAGTGAGTTTTCAGCATCAGTGAGAGGTTGCATATTGACTGTACTGTCCACTCACTCCATTAGCTGGTATTTGTGGAATTCCTGATTAATTTAGCTTTGTAAGTTAAGCTAGGAGGTGGATAAAAAAGATAAGACACAGTCTCTGTGACCTGAATAGGGTCCATTTATATTTGAAGGCAAGATAAACATGTGAAATAATAAAAGAACAGCAAGGATAATATATAGTCAACCAGATAAATCCTGTGGTGCAGATTAAGAGTATAGCAACAGGTAGATTACTGTGGGCTGGAAAAATAGGGGAATACTTTAGCTAAAGACTTGAGCGGGCTCTTGAGATGTAGGTTAAACTTGGGTAGGTGGGGGCAGGGGATGGGCAGAGAAGGTGTTCCAGATAGGTAGTCATAATGAGGGAGAACACAGAGATAGGAATGAAAATGGCATGTTTAGAGTGGACTGACTGAGATTACACCCTCTGATAGCTCCATCTGGCTTGGTCTGGCCTTTCTCTTTTTTTCAGGGAATAACCGCAACCAGGCAGAGAGAGAGCTGATCTGGGAGTCCCTGTGACCAGGAAGTAAGAGGAGAGGAGATGCAGGGTAGGGAGATGACATTGGAACCTATGGGTAATTTAGATTTAAGAACTAAGTGATAGTGATGATGGGGAAAGAAAGTAGAGTATTTCAATCTTCATCTCAGACGTTCCAAGGTTATAGAATCAGAACTTATATGGAGCCCAGGAGAACTTGAGTGCTATTGATTTATGTCCAATTTTGGGAATGGTCTTGTGGCATCTCTTCATTCTGAATTCCATTCTCACTATTCCATCAAGACTGTCTTTTTGCTAACAACCTCTTAATGATAAATCCAATTGCCTCTGCGTAACCCTAAAGTTTATTCATTTTCCCTTCACTCAACAATGTTGAATTAAAGTGGTAAGCGTGAACATCCTTCTCTTTTCCTCTTATTTAGAGGGAAAGGATGATGTTAGTTGCTGATTTTTGAGCACTTTCCACATTTTGGACATTTTTTAGGTGCTGGTAATGCAAAGATAAACAAGTGTTTACATACATGCTGGAGACACAGGCATTAAACAATCCCTCCAAATAAGTACAATTGTATTGTAATATCAAGAAATAGTTAAACATGCAATGAGAGCATTTAAGAGGGAAGAACTAACTGTTCTTAGAGAGCCAAGAAAGGTTTCTGTGGGGAGTGGGCTGTAAGGTGAGGCCTGATGATAAGTAAGAGTCAGCCATGTAAGCGGGTGGTGTGGTGTGGGCAGAGTGAAGAACATTTCAGGCAGAGGGAAGAGCAATGAAAAGAAGCTTGTCTGCTGAGGAACAAAAATGCTAAGGTAACTGGGGCACAGAATGGAGTGGGTTGTGCTATGAGACACGGCTGGGCAGGTGAGCAGAGATTCAACTTCCTGAGCCCTCCTAGGCCAAAGACATGAGTATGGTTTTTGATCCATGAGCAATGGGAATTTATTGAAAATTTTAAGCAAGGAAGTAATCTGATCCTATTTACATTTATCTAGCAGGTCAATATGGGACTTAAAAGGGGCAAACAGAAAAGAATTTTATTCTTCTGCCCACCACCATTTGAGTATTCTTTCTAAAGTTAGTTCTCCTAGTCCTGCAGGTAATTTCAGGCAAGGCTGCTAACTTGTCTATGTACTTTTAGAAAAAAAAAAGTCTTGTCATCACGTTTGGGCATAAGAATAATTTGGGTTCAGTAATTTATGCATCGAGTCCCATGCAATAATAATAAAATGGCTCTATTTCATTAAAAGCCCACGTTTCTCACCAGCAACCCACTCTCCCTGCATGCATGCCCATGCACACCCACCCACACGCACACACGTATGCACAGACACATAGCTCAGGCTTGCTTAGGTGTTTGTAATGGGCAGGAGAGGGTGGCTTTGACTTTTTCTCTATTTCTCTTCTTGGTTTTCTCCTACTCACCTCTGGCTTATGAGTGATAGCTTCTGACCCATTTCAGGTGGTGAGAGGGAGGGGGACAGGTAAAGGACAGGAAAGATTTCATCGGACTGGCTCTGGTGCCATCGTCTTTTGTCCATGGTAGTTACTTAAAACCCAGTCTCTTGGACTTTGTGTTTAATAAAAGCTGACTCATTTTCTTGAGCCAGGAGAACTCATTTTCTTGAGTTCCTTGAGTCAGGGAAACATTTGTGGGTTCTTCAGGATTTCCCCAACAAAAATATTCAAGTCCACTGCTGTATGGTGTATTTCCTGCAGCTGGTGGTTATATTTTCTCTCAGCTGTAAGAAGCTAGTGGCCCACACCTTGCTAGAATACCTTGTTCCTCCAGACAGTCCTCTTGGATAGAACTTTAAACAGCTCAAGACTCTGAGTTGCTTGATATGGCATGGCCCAGATCAGATCCAGGGGAATGTGTGCATATCCTCCCTGCTTGTATGTAATGCAGCTCAGCTGTCTCTCAGTTCCACCATTTCAGGGCTGTAGTCTCAGGCTCCCTCTCACCTTTAGGTTCCTCAAGCCCACTGTACCTTCCAAACACCAGAGGACACTATCAATTTCTCCCTGAAGCAACTTTCATGAGGCTTCTCTCTCTCACTGGAGTTGGAGCAGGCTGCGCAGTACACTGATAATGCCCTTGGAATAATTGTCTCTCTGATCTTTAATCTCTGAGTATTTCCAACTTCAACATTTTAAAAATACATTATTTAGAAATAGATAATACGTTGATATGACTAAATAGTAAGTAATAGAAAAAGAATGTTATGTAAAGTTGATCTCCCACTCTTGCCAACTAGTTATCCAGTTTTCATCTGCCAAATAAAGGAAACTAGTTTTATTCATTTCTTTTATATCTTTTAGATTGATTTTCAGTCTATTCAAGCAAATATAAATATGCACGTGTATCTTTTTGACCCCTTTTCATAATTGGCAGTATACTATACATACTCTGCACTTCGATTTTTTGAATAATGTGTACTGAATGTGCAGTGTTCCATTGTAGTGTCCCATGCTTTAATTAATCAGTCTCTTAAGAGAATTTAAGTTATTTGCACTTTTTGATATTATTTGCTGCAATAAATAATGCTGAAAATATTTCATTTGTGTTGGAGTATATCTGTAACATAATTTCATACCAGCAGAATTGCTGGATTAAAAAGTAAACACTTTTGTAATTTTGATAGGTATTGCCGAATTGCCTGCCAGAGGAGATGAACTATATATTCGCTTGCTATCAATGCTTGGAAAATTCTTGTCTCACCACAACTTTAATACTCAAGTATTTTACCAAACTCCTGGATGTTGCCAATCTGATAGGTCTAAAATGGTATTTCAGTGTTCTTTTAATTTGCATTTTTCTTAGTATGAGTGAGATTGAGCACTTTTTATATGTTTAATAACCATTTAAATTTTCTTTTGTGTGAACTATCTACATACTTTGCCCGTGTTTCTATTAGGTTGTTGGCCTTTTCCTTTTTGATTTTTTTAAAGGAGGCATTACATATCAGGGATATGAGCCATTTGTTTGTGATGTGAGTTACATTTTTTATTTTTGCCATGAGGAATATTTTGATTTTCATGTGTCAAATTTGTCAGTTTCTCTTTTAAGAGCTCTGGATTTTGAGTCATAGTTAGAAAGGCCTTTCTCATTTCTAAGCTTGTAACTAAACAGATTATGTCACATTTTCTTATAGTTCTTTTATGGTTTATTCTTTCTTACTAAGTGTCAAAAGGTAGCAAAATAGAAATATAAGGTAGAAATATAATCATATTTGAATCACATTTGATAGGTAGAAAGCGTAGGAATCATTCACTAATTTTTAGTGAGTGTTAAGGGAGAGGGAGATTTCAAGAGTGACTTCCAAGTGTAAGAGGTGTTTATTGATGAAAGACTAAAGCTCAGAATAGAAATCTGGCTAGGATATAAAACTGGGCATTTTCAGCATGTAGATTATAACTGAAGCCGTGGAAGTGGATAAGTTGATATAGATGAGGGTCTGACTGGATAGCATAAAGCCTTGAGGTATCCCAGTGTTTAATGATCGGTTAGAATAAAGAATCCTACGAAATATTCTGAGAAGTAGCCAGAGGAAAGGAAAACTAGGAGAGTATAGGAGAGAATAAAGGAGAAAAGTGTATTAAGAAAGTAAGGGACCAAAATGAGATAAGTGTGGATGAAAAGTCAATTAATATGAAGTCAGAAATTTGCTGTCCTGTTTCCCTGCAATCAGTACATTTTCTTCTGGATTAGTATGTTGTATATGATCTCTCTGACATCCTGAAACTCAGGTTGTACTGAGTCTTCAGGTCTGAGCTGGAGCATGTGAGTGAGACTTGGAGAGTAGAGGTTTAGAGAACAGCACCCCTAAGTTGCCTCCCTCCACCCCCATTGTTCAAACTTACCCTCTTTGAGGTAGAGAAAAGATAAGCTCACGAGGAGCAGTGTGTTCATTTTCCTCATTGGATGCTTGTTCGGGCGACAGAAGGTGTGCTGAGTGAGGTATTGGAAAAGACAGCCACTAGCTTGCTTTATAAAGCTTAGATGTTTGATCACAGCCAGTAAATAGAAAGGAGGGAGGAGTCCCTGATAAAGGCATGAGGCAGAACTGTCCTTTCCCCACTCCTTTCTCTTAGGGAGCCATAAGTCTGTACTAATGTGGAAAGTTCAGGCTGGTGAGCAGTGTCAGGGAATGCTTCTGGCTAAAGTTGAATTAGATTTCCACCCCGACTCTTCATCCTCCCACTGCCTTCCGTGCCCCGTATCTGTCTTTTCCCCACTTTTTTTTTAAGAGACAGGGTCTCACTCTGTTACCCAAGCTGGAGTGCAGGGGCTCATTGCAGCCTCAAACTTTTGGGGTTAAGCAATCCTCCTGCTTCAACCTCCAGTGTAGCTGGGACTACAGTCTCTACTCACTCTTTTTTCTCTGTGTGTCTGCATGTGTGTGTGAGTGTGATTGATATGGTTTGAATGTTTGTCCCCTCCAAATCTCATGCTGAAATGTAATCCATAATGTTGGAGGTGGGGCACAATGGGAGCTGTTTGGGTCATGGGGGCAGATCCCTCATGAATTGCTTGGTGCCATCCTCATTGTAATGAGTGAGTTCTTGCTCTTGTAGTTCAAGTGAGAGCTGGTTGTTTAAAAAAGTGTGGAACCTCCCCTGCCCTTCTCTCTCTTGTTCCTTTCTCTCTCTTGCTCCCATTCTTGCCATGTAATACACCAACTCCTTTTTTGCCTTTCACCATGATTGCAAACTCCCTGAGGCCCTCACCAGGAGCAGATGCCAGCACCATGCCTCCTGTTCAGCCTGCAGAACTGTGAGCCAATGAAATCTCTCTTCTTTAGTAATTAGTCTCTCTATTTCTTTATAGCAATGCAAAAATTCACTAACAGAAAATCGATACAAGTGGGGTGTTGCTATAAAGATACCTGAAAATGTTGAAGAAGCTTGGGAACTGGGTAATGGTCAGAGGTTGGAAGAGTTTGGAGGGCTTAGAAGACAGGAAAATGGGGGAACGTTGGAATTTCTTAGAGACTTGTTACGTGGTTGTGACCAAAATACTGATAGACATATGGATAGTAAAGGTCAGGCCGAGGAGTCTCAGATAAAAATGAGGAAGCTATTTGGAACTGGAGCAAAGGTCACCTTTGCTATGCCTTAGCAAAGAACTTGGCTGCATTGTGTCCAAGCCCTGGGAATTTGTGGAAGATTGAACTTAAGAATGGTGACCTAGGTTATCTGGCAGAAGAAATTTCTAAGCAGTAAAGTGTTCAGGATGTGATATGGCTGCTTCTAACAGCCCATAATTACGTATGGGAGGAAAGAAATAACTTAAAGTTGGAACTTACATTTAAAAGATAAGTAGAGGCTGGGCGCAGTGGCTCAAGCCTGTAATCCCTGCACTTTGGAGGCCAAGGAGGGCGGATCACAAGGTCAAGAGATTGAGACCATTCTGGTCAATATGGTGAAACCCCGTCTCTACTAAAAATACAAAAATTAGCTGGGTGTGGTGGTGCATGCCTGTAGTCCCAGCTCCTCGGGAGGCTGAAGCAGGAGAATCGCTTGAACCCAGGAGGCGGAGGTTGCAGTGAGCTGAGATCACACCACTGCACTCCAGCCTGGTGACAGAGCGAAACTCAGTCAAAAAAAAAAAAAAAAAAAGTAGAGCATAAAAATTTGGAAAATTCACATGTGGCAAAGAAGGAATGAATGTTTTCAGGAGAGGAACTGAAGTGGCCTATGGAGGAACTACTCACTAGATATATTTGCATGACTAAAAGGGAGCCAAGAGCTATTATCCAATAATACATTATTACATAATAATACCTTTTATTGGATAATAGCTCTTGGCTAATAAAATCTAAGACAATGGGAAAAAGGCATGAAGGCATTTTAGAAATCTTCAAGGCAGCTCCTCCTATCACAAACTCAGAGGCCTAGGAGGAAAGAATGTTTTCAGGGGCCAGGCCCAGGGCCCTTCTGCCCTGTGCAGCCTTGGGACACTGCTCTCACACCCTGGCCACTCCAGCTCCAGCTTCAGCTCAAAGGGGCTCAGGTACAGCTTGGACCATTGCTCTGAAGGGTGCAAGCCATAAGCTTTGGCAGCTTCCACATGGTGCTAAGCCTGCAGGTGTGCAAAATGCAAGATTGAAGGAGGCTTGGCAGCTTCCACCTCAATTTCAGAGGATGTATGGAAGAGCCTGGGTACTCAGGAAGAAGCCTGCTTCAAGGGTACAGCCCCCACAGAGAGGCTCTACTAGGACAGTGCCAAGAGAAAATGTGGTATTGAAGCCCCCACAAGAGTCTCGACTGGGGAGCAGCCTAGTGGAGCTGTGGAAAGGGGCCACCACCCTCCAGATCCCGTAATGGTAGAGCCACTGGCAGCTTGCATCTTGAGCCTGGAAAAGCCACAGCTACTCAACTCCAATCTGTGAGAATAGCCACAGAGGCTGCACCCTGCACAACCATAGAGGCAGAGCTTCCCAAAGCCTTGGAAACCCACCTCTCACACCAGCATGCCCAGGATGTGGGACATGGATCCAAGGGAGATTATTCTGGAACTTTAAGATTTAATGACTGCCTTGCTGGATTTCAGACTTGGATGGGCCTCTTGTCCTTTTCTTTTGGCTGATTTTTCCCTTTCAGAATGGGAATGTTTACTCAATGCTTCTACTACCATTGTATCTTGGAAGTAAATAGCTTGTGTTTGATTTTATAAACTCATAGGTTGAAGGAAATTGCTTAGAGAATCAGATGAGACTTTGGACTTTAGATTTTTGAGTGATGCTGGAACAAATTAACACTTTGGGAAACTGTTGGGAATAGATGATTGTATTTTACAATGTGAGAAGGACATGATATTTGAGGGAACAGGGACAGAATGATATGGTTTGGATGTTTGTCCCTTACAAATCTCATGTTGAAGTGTGATTCCTGATGTCAGAGGTGAGGCCTGATAGGAGGCGTTGGGTCATGGGAGAGGATCCCTCATGAATGGCTTGATGTTGACCTTGTGGTAATAAGTGAATTCTTACTCTATGAGTTCATGTGAGGCCCGGTTGTTTAAGACAGCCTGGAACCTCCCCTCCCTTTCTCCAGCTCCCTCTCTTGCCCTGTGATGTGCTGGCTCCCCCTTTGCCTTCTTCCATGATGATAAGTTTTCTGAGGATTCTCCAGAAGTGGATGCTGGCACTGTGTTTCATTACAGCCTGCAGAACCATGAGCCAAAATAAAAGCTCTTTTCTTTATAAATTAACTAGCCTCAGATATTTATTTATGGCAATGCAAAATGGCCTAATACAGCAATACTATCAGATTTCTGGTTCCCTAGAAATTTCTTATGCATACTAAGTGAAAGAGTGTCTATTCATCATTAGGACAATGACTTATAAAATGGGATGACATATGAATCTCAGAATTCAAAGATTTCTAGAGAGTTTTATGTAATATGTAGGTATACTGATACAGCTTACTCCAATACTGAAAAATTTTTCCCCGGTTTAAGGCTTGGGCAAGGGTTGTTTTTTCTTTTTCTTTTTCTTTGAGACAGAGTTTCGCTCTTTTCGCCCAGGCTGGAGTGAAGTGGTGCGATCTTGACTCACTGCAACTTCCAACCACTGGGTTCAAGCAATTTTCCTGCCTCAGCCTCCTCAGTAGCTGGGATTATAGGTGCCTGCCACCACACCCAGCTAATTTTTGTATTGTTAGTACAGACGGGGTTTCATCATGTTGGCCAGGCCTGTCTCGAACACCTGACCTCAGGTGATCCACCCGCTTCGGCCTCCCAAAGTGCTAGGATTACAGGCATGAGCCACCATGCCCAGCCAAGGGTTGTTTTTTCTCCTAGGCTTCTAACGTCCAGCATTGTCATCTTCACTCCTTGGAAACCTTGAATATTTCCTATGCCTAGGTGCTGGGAATATCTAGATAGGCTCTTGGAGGTTCCCAGCAAATCTCTTGGAGATTAGAAGTTTAGGGATGCAGGAAGAGATGCAAGAAGGGCTTCTCCAGAGATGTTTTGGGTGAGGTCCTTCTTGGGATCTCCATGCATTTTCTGGATATTTTCTTAACGTTAGCTCTTTTTTTTTTTTTTTTTTTTTGAGACAGAGTCTCGCTCTGTCGCCCAGGCTGGAGTGCAGTGGCCGGATCTCAGCTCACTGCAAGCTCTGCCTCCCGGGTTCACGCCATTCTCCTGCCTCAGGCTCCCGAGTAGCTGGGACTACAGGTGCCCGCCACCTCGCCCAGCTAGTTTTTTTTTGTATTTTTTAGTAGAGACGGGGTTTCACCATGTTAGCCAGGATGGTCTCGATCTCCTGACCTCGTGATCCACCTGTCTCGGCCTCCCAAAGTGCTGGGATTACAGGCTTGAGCCACCGCGCCCGGCCAACGTTAGCGCTTTTAGTATTAGAGCTAGAACTATGTCTCAACTATTCTCAGATATGTCTCAAATAATGTCCTTGCTGTTTACTCTTTAGGGAAACAGTCCATTTCTAACCTCATCCCATATCCTTCAATTTTATTTAGAAAAAACCTTCTGGAATGAGATTTCTTTATTTTTGCCCCTTAAACATCTCAGTCTTCTTGGTAAAATGTAATCCTTTCAACTGCTGTCTCCAAGGTCACTCCTACCCGCTCCTCATTCCAGTTGTGGCCATTATCTCATTGTTCTCCTTGCCCAGGTGCCCTTGTCTGTGTGTGGCACCAGCTGGATGAAGCCTTTGACATCTACCCTAGCTAACAGATCTGGATTTCATTTCAAAATAACCATCATTAAGATCTTCCCTATTTCCACCTCAGCCATGTCCTTCTTCTTGGGTGTTTGGTACTTGGCACTTTCTAGGATCTTAATATGAATTACCTACCTTTCCTCCTTTCATATCCTTTGTTTTACAGAAACCCCATGAGATATGTACGATTGTCTCATTTTTGCAGATGAGATAATAAGCTCAGAATGGTTCAGTA